GGGATATGTATTATTTAATCGTTCCTAGACAACGACGCAGCTAACGGTGATCCAACGGTACGGTCCTGATTTTCAATTCTATTTGAAAGCTGCTATTTTCGAATTTAACATAGTCGGTCGTGGATGAAACTTGTTACTTACTTGATAAGTGTTTAAGCCATTCTTTGGGTAATAAAGTTAGTGGCCCTTTGCGGTTTGGGCTTTAGTTCCTCGGCGCGGGCCATAAACAACTCCTTTATACCTCGAACAGTTGACTATTATATCTCAATACGGGGATATAATGTGGAGTGATAAAAATAAATAATATATACAGTAGGTTGAACAATACTTATAATTTTTAAGGCTATGTTGTTGATTATAATTGATTTTGAATTTTAAAAAGAGTGCACATTGCAGTTATATATAATCCATTTTTCAATATAATTGTGGTTTATTTTATGTAGTGGCAGTTTTTTTTTTCAATTCGATAAGTAAAAAATCGGTTCGTAAACTGTAAACAAATCTTTTACCAATTATCGGCAGAGTTCGATACTACACAGTAGAGATTTCATAGTCCTAAAGTTCATTCAAATCTCATTTACTTTGGACAGCCAGTATCAAACGTATAGAAGCATGGCTCGTGTGCTCGTGTTTGTCTGGTCGCGGACTATAGGTACATTGCAGTTTTGTATTCCTGACCGTTGATATTAATTCAAGTTATAAATTCTTGTGATTTGGTCAACTTAAAACACTTATTAAAAATATGACGTTTCGGGGAGTTTAAACACTACCTTCATGTACATGTGAGTTTTTAGAACTCACCTGAAAAAAATTTTGACCTTCTCCTAAGAAAGCTTCTTTCGAAGACTTTGTAGATCGTCTTAATACGTTGATCCTATCATTATTTCTGTTGAGGTCTATTTTCGCCCAGGAGTGCTAAGGAGAAGAACAGAAACAAAATTTTGGTACACTTACATGTACCTGCAGATGACGCTTAGAGTCGCTGAAATCCGAATCCCAAGAATAAATGACTTGAATTGATGTAAACAGCCAATATTAAAAAACTGCAAAGTTACTATAGTCTTAGGTGAAAATGCACCTGAACAGAAATAATAATACGATGAACCTATTAAGACAATACAGGAGACATAAAAAAATCTTGTTAAGGAGAACAGAAATTTGTTACTGGTCAGTTTTAGAAACTCGCATGTACCTGAAGATCGCGTTCGCAGTAAGGTGGTATTTTCAATAAATGTTTTAAGTTGATCGAACGCCAAGAATTTAGAACTTACATCGTGAAATACGAAACAGTGCCCTAGGAACATTAAATAATCTTTCATATTACGTAACTAGTTCCTAACGATGCATAAGACAAAACCTACAAATCCGTGACTGTACTTTGCTAGCCTAAGTACTACTACTGATATGTCCGTAAGTGTGGCACCACTGATACCGCGCCACACCGAAATGCGACCGTCCATTGTGAGGCAGATTTTACTGCCTGTTGGCCAGCACGGTCATTTTTCGAGGTACAGACTAATCGCCGCCACTAAAAACTGATTTATTAACAACTATTATGTCATGTTTGGTGTTCGGAAATGGTTTCATGCGCATTCGGTATACTTACAGCATCCTTGGAGGTAAACCAATATGACCAGGCAAATTACGTTTGCGTGGAGAAGTCCCCATTCATACAGGGTACACTGAAGGTTGCGATTCTCCTTTTACGTCCTACGCAACTGGGCGAGGAAGTATTGTAAGAGCGAAAATTTTTTAAAATGAGATATTGCGTCTTTTGGATGTTAAGCCGCGTACAGACCGAGATTCCAACGCAAGCCCAGGCACATGTACTTCCAGATTTTGTCTACCTTCCAACAACAAACGCCGACGCCTCTTGTGCTTGCATTCATTTGCTCGGCGTTGAATTTTCGGTCTGTACGCGGCTTAATATGTCATACATCTCCATTATAAAAATGTCCGTCGTTCTATCTGTCTGTCTGTCCGTCCGCTAATCTATAACTTTAGATGTTTCAGATGGTCCTGATCATTGTCAGAAAAAACATTTCTGAATTCGTTGAATACCATCGTAAACCTACTAAGACCTGCAAGCGGAATCCTCCTTTATAGGCTTTGGTAGTAGGCTACATGCGATTTCATCGCGGTATTTTGCGCAGTATCTATATCAGCATACCCATAATCTCAGCGTCATTCGAAACTCGTGATTACGTCAAAGTCTCAGTCAGGGATGTCAAAAGTAACAATATAAGACATTAGAAAAAAACGAAATCGGAAATATCGACACTAAATTAAGCCCATTGTCTTTATAGTTGCACATTCGCCGAATTTTAAAGTGGAATAAGTACAGTAGGCACTCTTCAAATTTCCTTGATTGGAAAATACTTATTATGATCATCATAAAAGTCATTATTTTATTTTGATTCAACATCCAGTAGCGTATTTTAAGATTCAGTGACCTGGGCATCTTAAAGAACGGAAAAACCAAACAATTTCGATTGAGGCGGTTTGAGCGGTTCCTCGCGGTCTGCCACCTTGGGCGGTTGCCGTGGCTGTTGGGGCCTTTAGGTAAATGCCCATATCCACACTTTATCAGCGTCAAAACATTTACCACGAACGTTATTTACAACTAAGCTGTATTTTTATATTTGCTTGATTTATGTGCTTTGTTTGACTCATAGGATAAGTATGTAGTATGATACACTTTTAAAATAGATATTACACCACAATGAAGCGAGCTTTTCTGTATTTGGCACCAAAATTATATGAACACGTACTCAAAAAAACTTAAAGCAATTTCGAAATACACATAATTTTGAAAATTATCAAAATGGATCGCGTAATGGGAAGACAACATATTATTGAATTCCTGTCAAATATTCCTTAAAAATTATCAACCTCTACATATACACGTCTTTGATATAAATTTTTGTTTGAGTTTCCTTTAATTTGTATGTTTTGATTTTGAAACATTCCAACATACATACATGTACAGACATTGTCCTTCTGCGGACTGAAACGTTTATTTACCCATTTTATTTTGTTATTGTTCATATACAGGGTGACTTCGAAGTTGAGTCATTTATTTTAATAGTGAGTAGATATGATCAAAAGAAATGTTTTTTTCCTTTACCATTTTTCTGGTAAAATTAAAGTAACAAAGTTATAGCCCTTTGGAAGTTTGAGTACCGCCCTGTCTCAATAATATCATGTACTCGTGTTTGGCAACAACGGATATAATCCACCTTATCGGTTCATCGCATCGGAAACAAAAAAGCGAAAGAATTTGGAACGATGTTTATTTTATTCAGTTCAGTTATACTCGTACATACAGTCGCGTGTGAATAGTGTCTGTTGCGTGGCTCAAACGAAATAAAAAATGGCACATGTTTATGCGGATCGGTTTCCCAATCGAGTGCAACCAACCCCTCGTGCCTTTGTTAATGTAGTACAACGGGCTCGTGAATCAGGTGACTTCAGACCTCACAGGGGACCTCACGATCAAATACAGGTCCGCACTGAAATACTTGTCGGGAGGATACTTTATAAAACAAGGTAAACATTTTTTTTTATATTTTTTTTATTTTTATACACATATTTTGGTTTATCTTCCTTCTACAATCATTATCTGAAAATTAATGACTCAACTTCAAAGTCACCCTGTATAATGAAGTTAATAAATGTCATTCACTACTACATACTTTGGGGGAACATTTTTGATATTCAGATAAGTCTATTAATCAATCAATCTAGGACAGTCGCCTTGTTGAAAAGAATCGATGACAAAAATATTACATGCATCAAGCCACCTAATTTGTTCAGATAGTATCGTTTTCACGAATGCTCGTATGTTTTTGAGATTATGGTTCTTTTATTGTTTTAGCAGGTGGTGTGAGTATTCTACTTGTAACTGATTTTGATGTGACACAGATCATAGGAGATCAAGAAATGGAGCACCATCAATCGGTGACTGCACTACTTGTTTCGTCTGGAAAAAAATACTGCTCGCAATTAGGGAAGTCAATGTTCAATCATCAACTTGTTGTCATCTAGCACCAGTGCCGCTGATAGACCTATGAACATTAAACTTCATCCTACCCCTCACGAAAAATGTAGAATTATTTTCTCCTTGGAAGTCATCAAGCACGCCCATGCCGTTTTGCGAACGAGTCGCATATTCTATTTCGTAAGATCGGTGGGATCTTCACATAATCTTTCTTTTGATTTACTAATTATATCAGATCTTAATAGGTCCGACCGGTGGGCTGTTTCATTTTATTCCCAATAAATAACGAACCAATAACCATTTTAGGACGACCGCACATTGCCATTCTATAAATAAGAGCATAATTTTCTCAAGGCGTACGAGGAAAAATCATTAAGTCCGCTTATTTTATCTGCATTTAAACTGGGACCCGTCGCTCCGCCGGTTAGATCGAACTCATTACCGTTTCTGTGAGCTTTACACAAAGACTGAACATAGAATTTCACTTTCTTTAATTGAACAGGCCATGTATTTGTAAATAAGGCGGTGCTTACTTAAGCCTCTGCTGTCATTGTTTTTATTCCTCTTGGCTACGCACCCAAGAAAATTGGTTCGGAGGTATTCGAATATACACTCTATGCTTGCGTGTAATTAACGGTAACCATCGGGTTTGGATGTCCTTTTAGCAGTACTGTTATTCATACGAAAATGACAACGCTTGCACTAGTCGTGGGGAAGAAGCCATGGTATTTGTTCGTCACCTACAGATCATCATTGTTAATATCGGTCGTCGACGCTAAAATTATAATCCTAGCTTTAGCTTTCAAGTAAATAAACGATTTTATGGATTTTTAACGCCATCTGGAACATCTTGGTCTTACATGAGAAGGCCATTTTGGTAGGCTTAACTTGTTTTTTATCCAAAGTAAACTATTCTGTAAGTATTTTCACGAATACGAGGGATGTCTTTTAAATTATGCATATGGAAATAATATAACACGGTAGGTAGTTTTAAATGACTTTATTGTTTTTCGAAGTATTCACCACGAAGATTAATACACATATGCATGCGCTCGAACCAATTTTCAAAGCACTTATTTCACTCGTTTGCTGGCAGATCCAAAACGGCATTTTTGAATGCGTCAACTGCTTCTTCTGGTGACTGGAACCTTTGACCACGCAGTCTGTTTTTAATTTTCGAGAAAGTAAATAAATCGTTAGGACTTAGATCGGGACTATATGGAGGATGATCCAATAATTCCACGTTTTCTTCCGTTAAATACTGCCTTGTTTTTTGGGCTGTGTGCGAGATTGTATTGTCTTGGTGGAGGATGATTCTTCTTTCGGGGTTGATTTTTCGAAGCTCGGTGATGACTTTTGGCAAACAAATGGTGGTATACCAATCCGCAGTAACAGTTCTTTGCTCATAAAGAGGAATTGTTGCAATATGACCCGCTTTTGACACAAATGTCGCGACCATCTTTTTCAAAACACTTCGAGAACGCATGACTTTTGTTGTCTTTTCTTCACCTTGGAACACCCAAACAGCCGACTGTCGTTTGTTTTCTGGTTCATAACAGTAAATCCACGATTCGTCACCACCAACAATGCTGTACACATTTTTAGAGTTTCCGGAATTGAAACGGACAAGCGTTTTTTGACACCAATTAACCCTGGCTGCATTCTGCTCTTCAGTCAACGAGAAACTAATGTTCTTACTCCTAATTCTTCATGTAACATTTTTTGAATTGAGGTCTTTGAGAACTTCAAGGACGCCTCAATCTCGCGATATGTCACATGTCTATCTTCAATGATGAGTTTGCGCACAGCATCGACGTTTTCCTGGGTGACTGCCGTTTTTGGTGCACCCACCTTGGGATCGTCGCTAAGACTTACCCGTCCACGTTTGAATTCTCCATACAATGGGAAATTATCGACTTATGTGGCGCTTCGTTGCCGAAAACAGGTAGTAACTCAGCAAGGCATTCTTGTTGCGATAATTGTCTCTGAAAGTTGTAACAAATTATGGCGCGAAAATGTTCTCGGTTGAGTTCCATTTTTCTAATGACTTGGTGATACTTAAAAATTCACTGTAGTGAGACCACTGCACGTATTGTTGTGAAACTTTGAATTTAAGTTTACTAAAGAGTGAGGTTAAGATTCGGTACTGACGTTCGATCCGCGCGGCCTACTATGTTTCTATATGCAAAACTTAAAGGACATCCCTCGTACATTTTGTGTTTTACTATAGTGTTCGAATAAAGCTCATTGAGTATTTTTTATGAGAATATATTGTTGTAACTATTTAATATTTCATTTTAATGAAGGACCTTTATATGTAGTTTAGATAGTATAGTCAGAGCATTTAATAAGTTACATTATAGAATAAATTGTCACTTCATAAAGAAATTGTTGTTTATTTGTTGCGTACCCACATTACATTAAAATTTGACATCTTGTTTAAGCAGTCAGGGAAGGCGTTACTCACCTAACAATCTGATCCAAACCTGTTAAAGGTATGGATACGAAAAACGCGTAAAAGTGATTACCTTATTATAAATGAGAATTGCTTCTGAAGGTAACAATATGTTTTTGAATATAATTCGCTTTTTGTTTTGTTTTACAACTGAAGGTTATATATCAACCAATGAAAAAAATAATTTCAGTTTCTGACTATTATTATTAATAGCATAATGCAGCTCTGACCCCAAAGCAGACAAGAATACCATAACACATCGTACGCTACTGCTAACACACCATGCCTTTGTATCGGCGGTGTACAAGTCGGTGCGCACTGATCCTGTCGCATTCTAAAACTCGCCGCACTAGCAGTGGCGCACATGTTTTGGTACCAGACTATATAGACAAAGCATTAAGAATCAGGCAGGAAAAACGAAAATAAGGCCACAGTTTAACTATTTAGATATTTATAAATATGCATTTGAAATCAGAAACCCAACAGCAATGCTACCTTTTTTCCTATAATAGTCCATTGAACCGGCTTATCTTTGACGAGTTGATGGTATGGATATCCATAGATTGTCTGCCGTCACGTTATAGCTATGTTATCCTCAATATATGCCTTTTCAATCTGCTTCACATGAACCATTAAAATTGATGTTTATACTGATCTGCAGACGAAGCCAGCCTTTCAGGAGTACAAATATGCATTTTCAAGCTAATAAATTACCCGCTATTTTTGCCCGCTATTGGTTATGATCAGCGCCTGTTAACTCAGATGTTTCCGCCGCTACATTCATAGATCCAAACTGAACGAACTCCATGGAACCGACCTGTCTGTCACCCTGTCGGAGTGCGAGCCATCAACGATGGTTCATCACCTAGGTATAAACGATTACACGAATCCAGAAAATGAATATTACCTATATGCCTGTAATGTACTTAGTGACATCAGAAGGGTTACACCCAGAAAAAAAATTATTTCTTCAACTTGATTTTTTGGCAATGGTAGTCTTACATCAAGAATTAAGAGAATACATTTTAACGAAGGTAAACAAAATCAAAGCTAAAACGTTGATACTGTTGCCACAGCATGCTTTAAATATGTTGCCAAAAAACAAGTCGAAGAAATTATTTTTTCTGGGTGTAACCCTCCTGATGTCATGGAGTATATATTCAAGAAAACACAAAAACAAAAATATCTACCGAAAAAATGCAGTTCATACTATTATTTAATTGCTGATTGTTGTGGTTACCGATCGCAATGTTGGTGTATCCTACTATGAGCTGCGTACACACAGAGCGGATCCCAGATTTGAATGCCAACTGTTCATTGTTGAAAATATAAACATGTCCAAGAATTTCACACAAACATTGGAGAATACAGTACCGGGTAAGGAGGTTTTAGGTACTTTTTTGCAGGTGTCAGGTCTGCCTGCAGCTTTACGATAAACACTTAGTTATCCGAAGATCCCGCCAAATATGTTGTGAGTGATTGATTATTTATCTACTCAGCTGTCTGAAAACCAATAGGTATTAAGCTAAGCGGGTGTATGGACATAGCACAAATTACATAAGCTTGGTATTTGGATGTTGTGTGTCAAAACCTTACAGCTCAAAGCGTCCACTTGAATTTCCTTACATTCCTCAGCAGCTTGAACCCATTCCTATCTTTCTCTTGGATGCCAGATACGATACAGTTTCCAGGCCGCGACTCGCACCGTGAACAAAATTAAATTCGTGTTTAGACCTTTAAAAATTATAGTTTTTAAAAACCAAAGACCCAAAATTCAGTTCAGGACAAGTAAAAAAATTTATATAGTACAACGTAACAGTTGTTCTTATTTCTATCACACCTCATATATTTACATAAAACAGTTCCTTTTCTTTCTCTTCTCGCTCCTACTTCATTCCTTTCTTTCTCCCTCTCCCTTTTCCCGTACAACTTGTCTGATTTCTGGGCCACCAGACCTGACAGACTGACGACAGACACTGACATTTCAGTGACTATGAGCTAAAGGCTAAGGTCCTCCGGACCGCCTGGAGAAGCAATGACGAGTAGTACGATGCAGTTGAGCTAATCACTGTTCTTTGTTCTCTTCTGCAATTTACCTGCCATACTCATGGCCATCTGGCATTCTGGAAGCAATATTTTTGTTGGCGGGATCCGTGGGTTTTATCACAATCAATGACAAAATTTGCTTTATACGACTGAAGAGATTGCTGTACGATCCATATTTGAATATTGAGTTGAAAGACAGGACGGCATTTGGGCCCCTATTATTGAACGAGGGAACGGGGAAACCTGTCAGCTGTTGACTTTGTCAAACAAATTTTTGAATGCATTCTATTCGGCACAAATTAATTAAACGTTCTATCACAAAGTTAACTTCGTCTTTAGAGATGAGACTAATAGGGAACGATCCCAAATTCTGACAGCTGTTGGGATTTGCCAAATAAGTTTGTGAATGAATTCATTTTTGGCAATACAGGGTGTCCGCAAAGTTGGGGTTTTCCTTTACAGAAACAACTACCCTTGAAATAATAAAGGTAATGTGTAGTGAAACGAGGGCGACCAAGTAAAAACAATAAAGGAAAAAGTACTCACTATCCAGTTGACGAGAAGGGTTAAGTACGTCTCTGCCCGAAATCATACCGCTCCAACAGAAAATGAAATCAGCTGATGCGCTACCGAGCAGACGCCGGCGGTGGTGCAGACCACGAACAGAGGTAACAAATATGACGGTGTTGCCGCGTTTTCAGTTTTTAGGTAAACGTACTTTATAGGTATTGTTCGAAGTTATCGCCGTTTGATTCAAAAACACAGCTGCGTGCACGACGTAGCCAAGCATCGGTGCAGGCTTTGAGAATGGAGTCCCTCCCCCGAATGAAAGCACCAGCTTGTTCAACTCTGAGACGAAGTTCGTCAACCGTATGCACTTCAGTTTTGTACACTAAGCGTTTCATTTCTCCCCAAAGAAAAAAATCACATGGTGTTAAGTCTGGAGATCGCGGAGGCCACGCTACAGGTCCATTACGTCCGATCCACCTACTCGGGAATAATTCATTCAAAAACTCACGCACTACGCGTCTAAAATGGGGCGGTGCACCATCGTGCAGAAACCACATTGATTGTCTTACACTTAATGGCACATCTTCTAACAAGGAAGGCAAAGTGTTGCGTAAAAAGTCTAGGTATTGCATCCCGTCCAATCGATTTGGGAGAATAAATGGTCCAATGAGCATACCGTTTACCATGCCAGCCCAAACATTCACCGAAAATGTTTGTTGAAAATGTGCCCGACGGACAACGTGCGGATTTTCTACTGACCAAACATGAGTGCTGCGAAAGTTATTCACCCCATTACGCGTGAACGTAGATTCGTCTGTCACCAATATGCACTTCAAAAAGTCCGGATTATTGTCATGTTGATGCAACAACCACTCACAAAACCGCACTCTTGCTGGAAAATCGTCAGGTTGAAGGGCTTGTACACGTTGGACGTGAAACGGATACAGCCCCTCTTAACGCAGCGTTTGCCACACTTTAGTTTTTGATACTTGCACTTCTCTAGCCACGTCTCTAGTGCTTGTTGTTTTTTGAAACGCAATCGATTATACGGGTTCGTTTACCTCTACACGCGTGACCGTAACCGTCGGTTGAAGATTGCACACTGACCTGACACACTGACCCCGACCCAGTTCTGTCGTCGCGGCTACAGGACGGTATTCAGATATTTTTGATGTTGCAGAGCCCTTTATCTCGGTTCCCTTAAGACATTGGTGTATATGGTACTAAGAAAAATTGCTTATGTTTTCAAGATCTACACATCGTGTAAAGGAAAACCCCAACTTTGCGGATACCCTGTATAATACGTTCCTGGATGTTTATCATCGAACGTTTCAACTCAAAGTTAACTTCGTCTTTCGAAATGAGACCGATGGTCGATGGCGAGACTTCCGCCAAGCGCGGATCGATGAGGACCTTTGGGGTGGGGCATGAAAAATTAAAAATTGAAAAAAGTAGGAGTAGGAGTAGTGCTTCTGAGAACAACTGTTCTTGTGACAAGAATTTTTATTCGAATTTTTCTTTTCCCAGTAATGTCTTGGGAGGCACTCGCTCTCAGTTCCTGCCCCGAGAATCTGTCGCTGCTTCAGAAATCTTTCCCCAGAGAATGACTCGAGGGGCTCTTCTATCAGTGTTCAAGAATATAGTCCCCCAATTTCCAGGAATAACGTACGGTATCGAACCGGACATTCAAATCAGCCATGAAGAGATTTAAAGGATTTTGAGGAACGCATTCGTAAAGAAAGTTTTCTGGTTCCCGACATTTGAACCATCCATACGAAATGGTGTAACGTGAGCAGAATTTGTTGTAGTGTTTGCTAATTCCAAACAATAGGGATTGCACAGAAAGAAGAAGACTACTGCTGATATTCTAGCTTCAATCACTACGGCCTCACAGCGAAACCAAGGACACATCCGACATACTGGTACTTCCACCATACTGAATACATTACACGGTGAACGGTGCCACCCCTTTTCCCACATACATCAACATGAAATGTTAATTAGCCGGTGAAGCCGCCATCTTCT